CATATATTATATATATATATATATATATGTATATATTTAAATATATAAAAATATATTGTAGATATTCATATTAAGCTTAGGATGGATATCACCTTCAGGTCTTTACTGCTGTGAATGTATATTTGAGTGTCCAATGAAGTTTGGCAACCTGACATAATGTTTAAACGTAATATCAAGTTTATATGTGCGTGTTTGAGTGCTTGCTGTTTAATGTTCGTGTATTGCTGTTCAATGTTCGTGTATGTCACATAGCCTCTAATCGTAATAGCAAGTTTGTATGTGCGTATTTGAGTGCATTGCTGCTCACTGTTGGGTGTATTTAATTGTTCTCGCCTGACTTTCTGCCAGTGTCAGGCTTTGGAGGACAGTTATTTTTGTTTTTTTCTCTCAAAATATCAAATATCAAACAAAAAGACAAGAAACAAAATTGTTCTTTTTAGGAGTCTATGAAAAATTGTCTGATTTTTAGAAGGCTATGGAAAAATATGAATTTTAAAAATTGTATCTATTTATGTACTGTTTTGCTGATCTGGTATGCGACAACGACACGTCGCAATGAAATTGGTGTCGTTTATCGAAACGACTTGTCGCATCGAACCTCATCGTTTATGTAAACGACATGTGTCGCACTCATAAACGACGTGTCGCAGTTGAAAGCGACATGTCGGTTGACAGCTATGGTGTAACGGTTAGTACTTTAAGTGTTTGGAGACAGTAGAGATGTCAATTTTGTGGTGTGGCGGTTGGTACTTTTGTCCTTGAAGTAACTGGCAGAAGGGTACGACTGTTTTGTTATTGTATCTGATTTTAAAGTTGAAGAAACACTGACGTAGTGATACTATGATAGACCGTGCTATACACATAATAACTATAGAATAATCACACCGCATAGCTACACACTTAAACAGTTTATTGATAAACTAAAAATACTAAGTTAGTAGTTGCTAGTTTCTAAATATTTATTGTCTGGATGTCAGCAAGGCCAAGTAGCAACTGAAACTCGACATACTAGCCCGCCCAACAAATAAAGGCGGTCGAAAACGCAAACGTGATATGATCAGCTGTCTAAAAGACCAAATCAAATACGACCAATGCGACCAATGCGACAACGATACATCGCATTAACATCAGTGTCGTTTTCTAAAACGACACGTCGCATTCATTGCGACACGTGTCGTTTACCAGATCAGCTGTTTTGAGTGTTTTCAGGTCTATTGATATGTACACTGCATTTGTTTTTGTTTTCAAAACAAAAAAAAGTATGTATTCTGTATTTACAATATTTATCTATTTACATATTCATTTTGGGTTTATTCATATTTTTGTTTAATTTAACAGAGGCTATGGTTTAGTTTTTTTTAAACAAATTGCTAGTCCGTCTCAACACTTGACGTTCAAGTTGGCACTCTTGGTATTTATTTTTATTTATTTTAAGACCCATAAAACACAATATAAAAAGTTAAAAACACGGCCTTTTGCCATGGGTCCCTGGGTCCCTGGGACCTGGGTTGTAAATACAAAATACTACATCTACTACATACATATTTATTTAACTACAAATACTACTATTTAGTTTTAGTACTAGACTAACTAGAGAGTAGAGAGAGTATAGTGCTGCGGACTTGCGGTCAAAAAACGATCTAAATTGAACAATTATGGTTTTTATATTCTTTTTTTATAATTTTGTTTTGTATAAAAACAAATATATAAAATAATACTAAACATAGCCTCCTAAAAACAAAACAATATAAATATGAAGAAGAAAAAATGCTGCTCGACTGACAATTCCAGAGGGCCGTGAAAAAGGTATAAAAATGTCTATTAGAATTTCAATTTAGAAGGCTATGAAAAAGTGGTTATATTATTTTGCGTTCTGATGCCCGTCATATGAGTTACGCATTTTTATAATCAGCTTCCATTGGCAAGTTTAAGCTGTGCACTGTGCACTGTGCAGTGTGGAATTGTGTTCACTGTTCACTCTCGAGAAAGAGAAAGAGAGTCTGTGTACTACACTATAGAGTCTACACTACTGTCTACTCTAGAGAGACTCTCTAGCTAGTTGTAGAGAGAGACTCTAGAGACTCTACTAGTAGAGTAGTGAGAGACACTATGGATAGCCAAAAAAAATAGGTACACATTCTGACCAGAGGGGCACAATCAGTTATATGTAGAGTGATACTGATTTTTAATATGCTGTTATGTAAAATTCCCGGTCGTGTTACGTTAGAAGAGTTCATGCTGTCCGAGCTGCTAAAACAGTATAAAATGTAAAATTCCCGGTCGCGTTACGTTAGAAGAGTTCATGCTGTCCGAGCTGCTAAAACAGTATAAAAGGGTGTACACGCGATTTCCCATGACCAGTGTGAGTAAACAAAATCAATGCAGCTTAAACAACACTGTCAATAAATACGCTGAGAGTCGTATATACCGTGGCGCTTCTAACGGCAACTTGTATCACGGGGCAAAGTGACATGACACCCGAAGAAAGCAATGAGGCATCGAACGAGGCATGGTATACTCCTAACAACGTCAAGGATCCCAGCGAGCTTACAGATCTAAGCCAATTGACCGGTGTCTATACAATTTCATCCTATGGAGGAGTGCGCGTAAGTATGCCTTGTTGCAGAGTCTGCGCGAAATATCGTTCTGATGATGCATTGATTTCTGAACCTTTTGCAGTATTTTAAGATCAATCATAGTATCGCTCTTTTTCAAGCGCAATATTAACAATCACCGACTGCAGTAACAAAATCTACTCATTATTTCCCGGCATACAGCGGTACACCAGAGGCCATGAAAACACTGCCGGCTTCCGGCTATAACTACAACACCCCGGAGGTACCGCAAATGACATGCTTGGAAAATCTATATTGTTTCGAATCCCGAAGGAGAGGTGTGTACTTCCGCCTTACACACATCCGACTATTTTGGCAGAACTCACTGGATCTAAATGCTAAAAAAAAACTCGCTATATCTCACTGATAAAATTAATTTTAAAGGATTGCATCTCTGACGGAGCGGGAAACCCATCATACCTTCTGAACTCGGAAACAGAATAAAATTTCGTTTACCCAGTTGAGGGAGAACCCGGGAATTACACAATGGATGGTTTCGTTCCATACGATGACACTGTAGAAACATGTTACCAAACAAGTGTGTACCACAAGACATGTTGGTACAGAGTGAGACCTTTCCCGGTCTGAAACTCCATTTTTAAAATTAATTGAGAATAAATTTTATTCCAATATCAGCTGGCGGTTTATATCAAATAGAAGTTCGAACTGAGTGAGGCTTCAAAGTATTTGATCTTTATTATCACAATATTACTAGTAGACACCCCGCATGTTTGCCTGATGAAAATATGAACTTGGTGGGGGTAGTCAGTTGGCTAATGTGTATTCAACCAAATAAGTTAAATGAAGTATCTCTTAGCTATATCCTACACACACGCACGCACGAGAATTACCGTACTATCGTAGTTTCGTATATCATGGCAATATTGTCGTACATATGCCGTACTATCGTAGTTTCGAATATCATGGAAATATTTTCGTGTATATACTATATACCGTACTTAATTTCATTTCACCGGATTTGGTTGTGGACCATCACATCTCAGACATCTGACATCTCGAAGTGCCGCGCTTTAGCACACAGGAACTTGGTTCCAAACATAGCCTTCTAGAAATTATAAATAGATTTTCAAAATCACGCTGATCTCATTTACTTACCAGTGATCCACTCGTCAAAAATTCTAAATAAATACAATAGTGATATGACTTTATTTGTGTAAATAGCCTTCTAAAATGAAAATCTTTGCGAGTGAATTGTGAAATGTTCTTTTTTGTTTTTTTTTCCACACAAGTAATCTCATACATACTCAAACAATGTGAAAAGCGTGAATGCGTAAAAAAATTCCCATCAGCTGTGTACCTGATATCATTGGAGGATATCATATATTTTACAATAAACCTTTTGACACCGCCCAGCTGGCATTTTAGTAATTTTCAAATACTTCACACTCTACTCTACTGAGTTCAATCTTATGTACCTATTTACATACATATACAATACAGTATATTTACACGGATACACATGATGCACATTACTGATTCAGTGATTGCACAGATAGGTTTTTTCCTTCTTTTTTTCCTCACCTGTGTGAGCCTGTGAGCCGTGAGGTCTGAGGATTATCTCAACCTTTCTTCTGTGAGGATGATCTCAACAGCAACCGTTACTGGCAAAGTGACAATGAGTCGCAGAAAAATCGTATGAATAAACTAATATACATATTTACACTCGTAAATTGTCAGTAAGCGTGAGCTACTGTGTGCGACTTTTAAAAAGTAAATACCAACAGTCCAACACCAGGCGGTATCACATTGTTCTCAACATCATGAGGTGTGGGTCTGTGGGTGTGTTGATTTGATTATTATTTGTGCGCATTCACCTTTGCCGGTGAAGTGCACTCAGAAATTGTTCGGTACTCAGGGCCAGGCCCAGGCGCCTAACATTTTGTTCAATTCCAAACTATTTAAATATTTCTCTTTTTGTGGGTATGGTTTTAGTTTTTAAAAATAGTTGGTTTCTAAATAAAAATGTGTTTTGTTTTTTCTTTTTTAAAAAACAAACAAAAAGTAAGACCGACTAAATACTAAAATAGGTTTAAAAAGAATACATGCTTATGTACTGTAAATATTTATGTATATAATTTGACTTTACAGACTACTTTAGAATTTGCAGAGTACAGAGTCAAACGCAGTCAGCATTTATATATATATTTATTTTCGTTCCTCGTCATGTGTTTACGAAACAGGTTTGGTGACGTATTTACCACTATATATATGCACAGAAGTAGAACGAACATGTTATATAATTCATTTTTAATCTTCGTGACCAAAACAAACACGCATTCAATTCAGGCCAGTAGGATCGTGATGTTGAAATTTCTGACGTCTAAGCGATTTATTTCTGCGAACCCCTGCATAGTAGGATCGTCAATTTGCCGCCGTTCATACACTGCTATCAACGGTGTGTATAGCCGAGTACACGCATGATCGGAGTAAATAAATATAATGATATATACAAACACACACACACAAACACACGCACACACACACACACACACACAC